TTTCAAACTTGCATAGGACTTGGACAATGTCATGGCACAACTGATGAATGTCTATCTTTCGCAACGTTTTTGCTGTCAGTTGGGAAAAAAATTTGGACAACAACATGATTGGTTTGACTACATCTTCCGGCAATAGATGTTGAATACCCACAGGAAGTAGGCGTTGCATAAATACATGGCAGTCATGGCTCTTTAGTCCAGCAAATTTACCCCCGTCAACATTTATGTAACGTGCGATATTAGAAGCATACCCATCAGGAAACTTTATAGATGATACAAACTTTAGAAAATCTTTTTGTCATTCGGTTTCATGGAAAAAAATTCAAGATCCCTTCTAGCTTTATCATTGTCCCTATTCATCCACAATCCCCTTCGTATGCCCATTCTTTCCAAATCAAGACGAGCTTTGATGGTGTCCTTTGTCTTGCCCTCGATATCTAGAATCGTACCCATCAATGTGTCAAATACATTTTTCTCAACATGCATAACGTCGAGATTGTGCCTCAATTTTAGTTTCGACCAATATGGGAGCTCAAAGAAAATAGACTTGTGCGTCCAGTTCAAATATGTAGAAGGTCTGGTCCGACTAACTATTTTCCCGAACGGAGCAAAATCCAAACTGTTAAGCTGTTCCAAGATCTCATCACCAGACCATTCTCTAGGTCTGAGGCGACGCTCTGTGTTCCCGTCAAACTCTTTATCATTTTCCCGCCACACGTGGTCCCATGGTAACCATCTCTAATGACCAAGGTAACAAACTTTTCTAGCGTGCCAACCAGAAGTTATATCTTCCTTGCATACAGGGCATGCCATATAACCCTTTGTGCTCCACCCAGAAACCATTGCATATGCGGGAAAATCATTCACAGTCCACATAACTGTTGCCCGTAGAGTGAACATCTTCCCAGTGGATTTATCGTACGTGCGCACACCGTTTGTCCATAAATCCTTGAGCTCATCCACCAACGGCCTTGAATAAACATCGATTGACCTGCCAGGATCCTCAGTTATCAAAACTGTCATCATCATGTACTCTTTTTTCATGCATTTCCAAGGCAGTAAATTATATGGGAATACGAAAATCGGTCAAGTGTTGTGGTGTTGGTTTAGAACCCCGTATGGATTGAATCCGTCAGTTGCAAGTTCTAATCTAACATTTCGGGGATCAGCAACAAACTCAGGGAATGTTCGATCGAACGCTTTCCATGCCTCCCCATCTGCAGGATGACACATCACATCGTCGTCTACCTGTTTTTCCTTATGCCATCTCATATCTGTGGCATTATGTGTTGACATATACAATCGCTGCAGCCTCGGTTTCAGGGGCAAATAATGCATGACTTTTTGTGGGATCTTAGTTATTCTATTCTGAGATGTCATTTTGACCCTCGACTCATTGCATATAGGGCATGTATCCAATGTTTCATACTCTTTGTAGAATAACATGCAATTATTTTTGCAAGTGTGATTTTTTTCATAACCCAATCCAAGATCATTCAACACCTTTTGCACGTGTCTATGGTCTTTCAGCAAACAATTGTCTGTTGGAAGCATTCTCCTGAAAGCCCCCAAAAAGTAATTGAAACACAGGTTCGACATATGATACTTTATTTTTCCATGCATTAGCTCCACAATGGCCGTGAGAATGGAAAAACTCTTGCAACCCGAGTATAACTCTTGGTTGGCATTTTTTAACAGTTGTTCATATTGTTTGAACTCTGCACTGTCTATTGGGGCAGGCACGTCATCTTCCCCTTCCTGATTGATGTTTATCGATGCAAATGGAAAAACATCATTTATAATATCCATGACTTGTTCATTAGGATCCACAATAGGTTCAACATTGTCCACTCTTGTGGCATTTGAAGACGAAACATTGTTTAATTGTTCTTCGTGAAGGTTCCAAATGCTATATGTCTCAATTATTCTATGCCTTACTAAATGAAATCTAACATTTTCAATTGTCTCCCACAACGTGTTGTTACACCTCCTACAAGGACAACAGATTCTAGTTGCACCCGGGTTGTGTCTACGTGCAAACTCAATAAAATCATCGATTACATCCAAGTATTCGTCTACACATCTATTCGGGTTCTGTATCCACCTTCTGCTCATAATTCCTGAAACTACAATCACAACACAACAATCACAACAACTTCATATGAAGTTATAATGTCACCTTATGCCTCCGGTAAAGGCCCTATCCCATTCGGAATGCATAGTCCTGTCATGTAACCTACGGCTACATGAGATTAGATTTCGACGTGGATGAATTTTGGCAGCATCTCGATACAGTTCTTGAGGTGGGCATAGGTATAAATACCTATGTACCACCCGAAGAACGTACCGAGATGACACCGAAATCTCCACAACCGAAACCTAATCCTGTAGCCGTAGATTATGTGACAACACTATGCATTACCAAACTGTCCAAATAATGGGACAATTCAAGAATTAATTGGACCACTGTCATGCTTTACGCATCCATGCACGAAATCCAACTAATCTCGAATAGGAAACTAAGTTTTACTACAAATAAAAAAAATGTACGAAGTTAATTTGAATTAACTTCGTACATCACAACACATTGTGCTACGTCATGCACAATTTAAAAACATAATATAAATATAATATCACAAAAAAAAAAAAATTTAAACATAACACACGAAGTTTAACATAATGTAATTAATTTTATATTCTTAAAATATAAAGCGAATAAAATACTTTCTCAAGTGTTCTGCACCAATCGCTAATTACAAATATCCCTAAAGAGAACGAAATTAATAGCGTTAATATGAATTTGCATTAATACTTTTAAACTAATGACAACAAATAATAGTTACCCAATGAACTCCCAGTAGAAGCACAGCAGAAGCACAGGTCTGGTGTAGGCAGAGGTTTTTGTTTTTTTTAAGTCTGCCTCTACAATGGCAAAAAATAGATTAATAAGAAGAAGGATTTTGCGCGATGAATACGGGTTCGTCGCACAGACAAATCATTTTCGCCTTGCAAGTGGTCCATTATGTCGCCAAAAATACTGTTTTTGGCGCCAAATAAAATAACCCGCGGTTTTCCGGCTAACTTTGCGCGACGATAATGCAACCGTCGCGCTAGGGTTCCTTTTGCGACGATATTTGCCATTGCGCAAGGTTTTGGCGCCAAATAAAATAAATGCGGTATTCCTTCCCAACTTTGCCCAACGATCAAGATTTTGGTGGCGCTAGTAGTTTTTGCGCGATGAATAATTTCGTTGCTCAAGTTTTCAATTATAAATTATTATCTGGAATACTTTGCGCTACGATTGACTCTTTTCGTCGTGCAAGAATCATTTGCGCGACAAATTTTTTGTCGTCGCGCAAAGTGTCGTCGCGCAAGTATTAAAATGTAGTAGTGAAGAGAGTTCTCAACCATGCTCTGATACCACATGTAAACTTAATATTGGGTAAAACCATGAGAACCCAATCCGTGACCCAAGATCTTGAATTTCATGATTTTCACAATAACATTAGGCGGAAATTCAATTAGACTTAAATTACATACATACCTTGAATGATTAGTCTTCTATCATATTAAGATATTTGTCAATCTGTAGGCAAGCCGTCAGTGTAGAGGAAATAGATTTTTCTCTCTAGCCTTTTGCACATAAGATGGGTATGCACACTATTATAGGCAGAGAGAGGACCCCTTTCCTAATGAAGCCTATAATCAATTACCACCCATCACAGTAATCAAATAGGGAACTACTTCTCTTTATTTGATCAATATAATTATTTTGAATAATATTTATTAAATCAATTAAACAATTTATTTGCCACATAGGTCACTTCATGTGGGCCACACATAATATTTATAAAATATTCTTACAAGTTCGAGAGCACGTCACCGTACGAACAAATTCTGAGGAGAATACGCCTGTCGTTTCCTTGTGTGTTGGAGCCACTAAATCGGATTGCTAAAGTAAACCATCCATTTAGCGATGAAGAATGTGTTTAAGGAGAAGCAGCAGGTTGTGTTTGGCTAATGAGCTAGCCAGTGTTTGCCTTAATTTATTGCTGTTAGAATTTGTTAAGAGTGAGTCAGAATGATCAGTTTGGATGCTGTGTAATAAATAAAGATTCTGTGGAGCTGTTTATTAATCTGAAATCTATTCTTATTTCCGCCATGTATATATAAAGAGAGAGGTTAAGCTGACGTGTGGTTAGTTAGTGACGTGTCGATGCTGTGATATTATCATATTAATCACGTGTATTAGTTATGTTAGTTGTTGTAATAATCACGCGGGTTATTCTTAGGAGGTTTTGTAGCTAAGCAAAGCTTGAACTAGCTAGGACTACAATAAAAGACTCACTGTTCTGTATTTCTCAATAAGGAAAAAGAAATCTGAAATATAAGTTCTCTGTTGTTCTCTCAATTCCTCTATTTTCTATTTCTCCAATCTTCTTCTTCCTCCATTCTTCTTCTTCTGTTAGCATCTAGAACCTTGTAGACATCAAAACTTTCTGACCCTAATTATGAAAAATTATAATATTTTGTTTAGGGAGTTTCACATATAAACCCTTTATTAGAGACTAATAACTTATAAAAATATTGTTGCAATTTTATTTATTTATTATTTTGGTTGTTTTATTTTATTTATTGTGGGGATTATAAATATTTAATTTTTATGTTTTATTTCTACTTAATTTTCTAGTTTAATGTGGTGAAGGTTACATGTTATTGGATGCCTGTAAAAGGTCACTCCTCCTTCACATTTGAACAACACAAAGATCACATTTGAAATCTATAAACATTTCATACCCATTACATCACAAAGATCCAAGTCCGTACATACAGACTGCAAATACTTTCTTAATCTGGAAGGGGCAGTGTCAAGCCAGTTTGCTTCAATCTTGCAAGCTTGTAGTGATCATTCTCTTATCCAACAAGGTAGACAAGTTCATGCACATGCTATTTGCAGTGGACTTTTAAAAAACAGCCTTGTCGGGACAAAGATTTTAGGTATGTATTTTCTCTGTGGGAGCATTGTGGATGCTAAGAACATCTTTTATCAGCTTGATTTGCAATATACTTTGCCTTGGAACTGGATGATTAGAGGGTTCACTATGATGGGTTACTTTGAGTTTGCCTTGCTGTTTTACTTCAAGATGTTGGGTTCTGGAATTTCACCTGACAAGTACACTTTTCCAAGTGTAATTAAAGCTTGTGGTGGTGTGAATAATGTAAGATTGGGTAAAGCAATCTATGATACCATCCAGTTTATGGGTTTTGGAGTGGATATATTTGTGGGTAGTTCTTTGATTCAATTGTATATGGGCAATGGTTGTATCCATGATGCATGGTGCTTGTTTGTTGAAATGCCTCACAAAGATTGTGTTTTATGGAATGTCATGCTTCATGGTTATGTTAAAAATGGAGAATCGAAGAATGCTGTTGGAATGTTCTTGGAAATGAGAAATAGTGAAATTAAGCCCAATGCAGTGACATTCGCTTGCATTTTGTCTGTTTGTGCCTCAGAAGCTATGATTGGTTTTGGTACTCAGCTTCATGGGCTAATTGTTGCTTGTGGGTTGGAGTTGGATTCTCCAGTGGCTAATACATTGTTAGCAATGTATTCAAAATGCCAGTGCTTGTCTGAGGCCCGCAAATTGTTTGATATGATGCCATGAACTGATTTAGTGACATGGAACGGAATGATATCTGGTATATACAAAATGGGTTTATGGTTGAGGCTTCACGCTTGTTTCAAGCGATGATTTCTTCTAGTGTCAAACCGGACTCAATCACATTTGCAAGTTTTCTACCATCAGTTGCTGAACTGGCTAGCCTCAAGCAAGGTAAGGAAATTCACGGTTACATTGTAAGACATTTGTGCCTTTGGATGTGTTCTTGAAAAGTGCACTGATTGATGTATACTTCAAGTGCAGGAATGTGGATATGGCACACAAAATTTTCAACCAAAGCACCAGAACTGATGTTGTCATGTGCACTGCTATGATTTCAGGGCTCGTTCTCAATGGGATGAATAATGATGCATTGGAAATTTTTAGATGGTTACTTAAAGAGAAAATGCGACCGAATTCTCTAACCTTGGCAAGTGTTTTACCAGCTTGTGCTGGTTTGGTTGCTCTGAAATTGGGAAAGGAATTGCATGGAAACATCCTCAAGCATGGGCTTGACGGAAGGCTTCATCTGGGAAGTGCGCTTACAGACATGTATGCAAAATCTGGAAGATTGGATCTTGTTCATCAAGTTTTTGAAAGAATGTTTGAAAGGGACACCATTTGTTGGAACTCAATGATAACAAGCTATTCCCAGAATGGCAAGCCAGAAGAGGCCATTGATATATTTCGTCAAATGGGGATGGCAGGTGCCAAGTATGACTGTGTAAGCATTTCAGCTGCTCTTTCTGCTTGTGCAAACTTACCGGCACTTCATTATGGGAAAGAGATTCATGGTTTCATGATTAGAAGTGCATTTAGGTCTGATCTGTTTGCTGAGAGTGCACTGATAGACGTGTATGCCAAATGTGGAAACTTATTTCTTGCTCGCAGTGTGTTTGACATGATGGAAGAGAAGAATGAAGTTTCCTGGAACAGCATTATTTCTGCTTATGGGAGTCACGGTTGCCTTCAGGACTCTCTTGTCCTGTTTCATGAAATGTTGGGTAATGGGATCCTGCTTGATCATGTCACCTTTCTTGGTATATTATCTGCTTGTGGCCATGCAGGCCAAGTTGATGATGGAATTTTCTACTTCCGTTGCATGATTGAGGAATATGGGATCCCAGCTAGGTTGGAGCATTGTGCTTGCATGGTAGATCTATTTGGGCGTGCTGGACGTTTAAGTGAAGCATTTGAAACAATAAAGAGTATGCCATTCTCCCCAGATTCTGGTGTCTGGGGAACATTGCTTGGAGCTTGTCGGGTCCATGGCAATGTTGAGCTTGCTGAAGAGGCATCAAGACATCTTTTTGACTTAGAACCCCAAAATTCTGGGTATTACATACTACTCTCAAATATACATGCTGATGCTGGAAAATGGGGGAGTGTGCTTAAGGTTAGAAGTTTGATGAAGGAAAGAGGAGTTCAGAAGGTTCCTGGGTACAGTTGGATCGAGGTTAACAACAACACTCATATGTTTGTTGCAGCAGATGGAAGTCACCCACAGTCTGCTCAGATATATTCAATGCTCAAGAGTCTTCTTCTTGAACTGCGAAAAGAGGGTTATAATCCTCAACCCTGTCTTCCTACACATCCACAAACATCGGGGATGTAATTACTGGAAAGTTTCATTGTCTCCTCCTCTAATCCTAGCAACTTCAGGATTAGGAATATGGTGCTGGCTCTGTGACTTATGGTAAGTCAGGGAATGAAAGGTTGTTGAACTATTCTATTTTACCATTTGCTAGATACATTTTTTATGTGCGTACTCGGATCTACAGTTGTCACCTATAATGAATGAAGCTTAAAAGTTCTTATCATCTGCTTTATTGCATTGGTTGGAAGCACAACAGTGAAAGTTAGATGAATCATTTTAATTAGAGTTTTAGAGAGAAAATAGCTCTAATCATTTAAAAACTGATCAAGTGTGTAATTATACATAGCTAACTTAAAGTGTGTAATTAGACATTAATCCTTATTTTTTTTTCTTCTTTGAATCATGCTTTAGAACCAGATTAATTTTTGGAAATCATTGGAACTGATCAAGTTGGGCTTGATCTGCTTAGGTTTCCAAGCCCTAAGTTTATTAATTTTAGTTTATTTTAATTTTATATTGTGGTCAGTCTTATCATATACCCATTTTTCTTGGTAGTTACAGTTGTTCCAACTTGGGCAGATGTATTATATTTATTCCAATGGCTTAGGTAAGAAATAATTGCAAGATTGTAGCTTTTGGTCTGAAAATTACTATGTTAATTTTTAGGCAGATAAGTCTCTGAGGTTTGAACCCTTTGCTCTCTTTCATTTTGGCGTCTTCAGCTATAGAATTAGAGCTTCAAGTAGGTTTCTGTATTTTGTTAACCCTTCCTTTTGCGTTATGTGAGAATCTCTGGAAGTGGTCATTGTTTTGTGGAGTGGAAAGATTGGTTTGTTTTGCAGGAGAGGAGGCAAATATGTGGTCAAAAATTTCCTGAAGGATTGTGCTGGAGAATCCATTTGTAGTTGTGGGTACTGAGATGAGTGTTCGACACATGATCTATATCGTTGCGGAGGGATTTTTGGAAGTGCACAGAAAGGAAAGCTTCCTAATATTGTTTAAGAATGTACGTTTACGTTTGCGGTTTTCTGTTTAAGACATAGCTTTAAAGGCTTTTGATATGTAAGAAGCTTGAAAGGTTTTGACTTATCCATACAGCCTAGTATTAATTGATAGTTCTAGTGACTGAAAGAAATTTTAAATCCGTTTTGCCACTTACGGATTTAGTAGGTTATTCTGTTTTGATATATGCTGCAAGAAATGAGGGGAATGTATAAGTGGGGATTATCACGTCAATGCATTGTTCACAGAATCACCTCAACATAATTCATTTGAAGCTTTATGGATTCTCGAATATCCAATTACTGCAGATCCAACCCAATGACGTGGTATTTCTTTTGTTGTGTTTCGTTCTAAGTACAGATGCGCACGAATAAGCTTTCAATTTTTGATGATGTGCGACTCTGAAACCTATGTATCATGGCCGGTCTTTCAAACAACTTGAAGTGACACAATCCAGACATTGTATGGTACGTTGTTGAATGGACGTGTTAAACAGCGCAAGCATTTCATGGCATTCTGTAGGGGTGCGATTAAAATAGCAGTAAGAATCTGCTAGTCAAAGTGGGAATGCATTCGTTAGGTGTCAGAATTTCAAGTGCATGAGATTTAACTCTCAGACTTCAATATAAGGCCACATTAAAATTTGAAAAGGAATTTGTGCAAGAAGTGCTACAAGGAAAATAAATATTTCACAAATAATTGCTCTCACATTACTTATCAGAACTCAGATGAACTAAAATAAATAGGATCTCTCTACGAAATCCTCACCTAAAGGAGTTCTCTTTTAATTTTTCATGGTATTTTTCGTTTACCAAACATTTGGCAATTTTCACACACTAATTTATTCAGGATAAAATTATGGATCTGTCACTGTTGGCCTCTCGTTTCATCTAAATGATTATAGAGGGAAACAAAACTGATAAACGGTCCCAATTTGTTGATCAGATAATGAATAATAAAATTTAGGGAGATTCACTATTATACCCAATATGGGGGCCCAAATTATAAAAATACCCCATATGAAATGGACTTTAGAAACACACATAAAACTCATTTACAACATAACAAAAAAGCTTTTAACTTCTTATAAATTACAAAACTGCCATCAATTTTTTAAAACAAGTTCAACCCCAAAATCTCATAAAAATACCCAAAACACTCAATAGGGCATCAAAGTAATTTAATTATCGATATTAAATTCAATAACGTCAGCTGTCATTTTTTGGGTTTGTTTATAAAAATTCAATTGTGTAGGGTTTATTTATAATATTAGTGCTAGAAATGGGTATATCACTAAATATCTCTAAAATTTAACTTTATTAAGAGACATTTTTAACGTATATTAATTACCTTATCACTTGGATGGAGTATTGAATTGATGCCACGTAAGTAGACTTGCATGCATGGACCCAACATTGACTTGAACAAAGCCACTCACTCTCTCTCTCTCTCTCTCTCTCTCTCTCTCTCTCTGTGGAAATCTATATGATCGTTTTCTGCTTTTTGTTTTTGGCTATCTTTCGAGCATAAGTTTGAAAATGGTACAATTCATGATATTTCTTAGCAACACCATTTGGAATTATTAACCTTCTTCTTTTAGGTTATTTGATACATATAGAGCCAGTAAACACGTTAAACACATGGTTTATCTAGTGTCTTCTTTTTTGTCTGTATAATTTTCTATTTCTGTCAGCGTCTCTATTGATATCTTCCTAATAACTAGCTACTTCCTACTCTATTATATGTAAGTGGCATTGAGTTGTAGTTGTTATATCTATCGTTCTCTCTCAGGCTTCTCCACACCTCCAGTATTTGGTAAGGGCACGTAGACCGGTAATTGTATCTAATTACTTAATTATCAGTTAACACTTGAGCGCTAGCTCTTCATATCTTATAGCAACGTTGAAGTGCAGATCGGAATCTAAAGCAACGTTGAAGTCCATATATGGCAGACAAAGAGCTGCGTGCGGCCACCAATGAAGGACACAGCTGCAAGCATCAGCATAGCTGACGACGAAGATGACGGCGTGGACCTCCGAAGCTTGGCTAGTGATCAGCCCGTGTCCCGCAAAGAAGCAGTGGTCCTCGATCTGCCCATGTACCAAAAAGACGATGGAGCACTCCTTGAGCAAACAGATGGCGATAAAGATTCAAGTAGCTTGCACTTTGTGCGGACCGCTTTGGAAGATGTAGAATTCAGTGAGCAATATGCTAATGCTTTCCATGGGACAAGGGAGAATGCATCAAAGAAATTAACAAAGAAGAAGGTAGTCCACGAAAGGCCCGTTCTTGATGTACCCTCGTACGAAAGAAGCCTTGAGGTAGATGTAAAATTCGCAGCGCAACATGTTAAGTTTTACCACGGCACTAGGGAGGTACCAAATGCAACAAAACCATCAGAGGAATTCAATCGAGGAATCCTTGAGCAAACAGACGGCGATGAAGATTCAAGTAGCTTGCGCTTGTACCAGCAGTTGTACGGCTACGCAACTCAGGGCAAGATAGATAGCTTTAAGGACACCATTGAAAGGAAGCTTGAGGCAGATGAAGTACATGATCCCAATGCTTGCATTCGGCTTCTGTCTCGACTAAGCCCTCATAAGAACACATTCCTTCACATAGCTGCAAGTTTCGGCCATGCGAAACTAGCAGCCGAGATCATACACCTTCACAAGCCCCTTTTGTTTGAGAAAAACTTTGAGGGCGACACTGCGCTTCATATTACCGCCAAAGCCGGGGATTTAGATACAGCAAACACTCTTCTCCGTGAAGCCCTAGGCGCTGAAAATGCTGATGAGGTATTCATGACCTTGATAAATGATGCGCAAAACACCCCCTTGCATGAGGCCCTGATTCATGGTAACCAATCAGTAGCAAAGTGTTTGATAGAGGCCTATCCTGCCTTTTCTTATTATATTAATAAGGAAGAAAAGTCACCTTTGTATCTGGCCGCTGAGGAAGGGTTTGATGAGATCGTAAAACTAATAAACAAAAAAGCAGTTGAGAAAAAGCCAGAAGTTCGTGTTAATGGCAAGTCTCCGTTGCATGCTGCAATTCTAGGCCATCGGAACAATGGTACCGTAGTACATTCAATTAATACTTCTGTTTTTTCTGCTTTGCCACAACGGCTAGTGTGGTGGATTTTTTATCCATTTTTTTATTATTTCATTTTTTAATCTGAAAGAAAAACGTCATACTCATATTGTTCTAACTTATACTTGATTTCATTAGAACTCTTAGAGATAATATCAAGTATGGAGGAAACGTTTGAGAGCCCAAAAGATGAGAAAGGGAGGACTCCACTACATTGGGCAGCATCAATTGGTTACCTGGAAGGGGTTCGTTTCTTATTTGGCAGACGCCTCTCCGATTCTCATCAAATGGATCATGGAGGCAACTTTCCAATCCATTCAGCATCAAGCAAAGGTCATATCAAGATTGTTAAAGAGCTGCTTCGACATTGTCCTGATTCAAAGGAATTGAAGAACTTTAATGGCGAAAATGTACTCCATGTTGCAGCAAGATGCGGCAAAGACAATCTTGTCAAATATTTTCTTAAAAAGGGTGAGTTTCGAATGCTGATAAACCAAAAAGACAGCAACGGAAATACTCCTTTACATTTGGCAACGATGCACCACCATCCCAAGGTTGTCTACAGATTGGCTTGGGATACAAGGACAAACTTAAAGCTCTTGAATGATAGCGGCATGAAAGCTCTTGACATTACAGAAAGCACTTTGGAAACTATTGCATCATATCATGGGGTAAGTTAGTACTATATTTACTTTTATCAGATGACTGATGATGATGATTTTGGCTATCATTTCCAAGGGAATTATCCTTGTTCTATTTAGCGGGTTGGGAACAAGTACGCATTAGTTCCAGTTTGGTATATTCTCAAAGAAATCGAACAGAGAACTAAAAGGAGAAATAAATAAATTTAGAAAACACTCTAGATTTTATTGAAGTAGGATTACAACTCTATGGCTGATGTAGCTCACCTAAAATGGTTGATA